CATGTGGACTATTAGCGATGACTGCATTTGTTTCTAAGTGTTTGCAGACCGCTTCCTTAACAATCTTTTCCAGAATCTTGCCCGGTATCGACGTGAGGCTGACCGGACGGTAGTTGTTTGGGTCATCCTTTTTTCCCTTCTTGAAGATTGGGACCACATTGGCCCTCCTCCAATCTGCTGGAACTTCTCCCGTTCTCCAGGAACTCTCAAAGATGGTTGCCAATGGTTCCGAAATGACTTCCGCTAGTTCCTTCAATACTCTTGGGTGTAGTTGATCTGGCCCTGGGGACTTGAACTCATTTAGAGCGACCAGGTATTCCTGGATGACTTGTTTCCCAATTTGGGGTTGGAGGTCCTCCAATCCCTCATCCACTCCATCTTGCTGAGGTTGAAGACTCTTTTTGTGAGAAGACCGAGGCAAAGAAGGCATTAAGTAGTTCTGCCTTTTCCCTATCCCCTGTCAGCATTGCCCCATCTTCTCTGAGAAGAGGTCCTATCGCCTCCTTGTTTTTCCTTTTTCTACTGACATAAGAATAGAAGCCCTTTTTATTGTTTTTAATGTCCCTGGCAAGTCTGAGCTCGTTTTGTGCTTTAGCCTTGCGGACCTTTTCCCTACAGGTGTTGGCTATTTGTTTGAATTCTTCTTTGGTGATTTCTCCCTTTTTCCACTTCTTGTGCATGTCTCTTTTGTGTCTTAGCTCAGTTAGAAGTTCTTTGGACATCCATTCTGGCTTCTTTGCACTTGTCCTATTTTTTCTCTTTGTTGGCACGGTTTGCAATTGCGCCTTGAGTATTTCACTCTTGAGAAATTCCCATCCATCCGTAACTCCCTTGTCTTTTAGTATCTGTGTCCACGGAATGCTGCTCAGCGTTTCCTTCATTTTTTGGAAATCAGCTCTCCTAAAGTCCAAAATGCGGGTTTGACTTGTCTTAGTTTCGGCCTTCCTTTGTACCTCAAATTGCAGGAGCACATGGTCACTTGCCCCTAAGGATCCTACCACTTCGACCGCATCGATCAGGTCCTCCGCATTTGTTAGGATGAGATCAAGAGTAGCCAATCCCCTTGTTGCCTCTTCTACCTTCTGGACCATGAAATTGTCTGCAAGGCAAGCGAGGAATTTGTTGGACCTTGTACTCTTGGCCGAGTTTGTTTTCCAGCAAATATCGGGATAGTTGAAATCGCCCATGACTACTACATCTCTTTTCTGTGCCTGTTTGGTCAACTGTTGGCAGAAGACTTCATCAAGATCTTCCTCCTGGCTTGGGGGTCTGTAGTAGACGCCTACAACGACATCTTTTTGAGTCCCAGTTCCCTTGATTCTTATCCAGATGATTTCAAGCTGGTTTCCCAGATTGCTGTCTTGAATCTCTTCTGCAGCATAAGAGTTTTTGACATATAAGGCTACTCCGCCTCCTCTCCCCTTTGTTCGGTTTCTGTGAAAGAGGTTATACCCCTCGATATCTACATTCCAGCGATAGGAGTCATCCCACCAGGTTTCAGTGATCCCTATGATATCATATTTGTGGTGTTGTGCTAAAAGTTGGAGTTTGTCTTGTTTATTTCCCATGCTCTGTGCATTAGTGTAAAGACATGTGAGCCCCTGGGATCTTCCCTTGAGCTGTTTAATTGGGATTATTGTGCTTTTGGTACTTGGTCCTTGTTGTGTTTGTGCAGCCCTCCGTTTAGCCTTCTGGCGATTCCCAGACATTATGGGTAAAGTAGTGTTCGCAAGGCTGTTGTCCCCCTCCCCTGGTGGACCTAGTTTAAAGTGCGTCTAATGAGGTTTGCGAGTCTGTGAGCAAAAAGGTGTTTTCCTACTTGTGTGAGATGCACCCCATCCCTTGCCAGTAGGCCATCCTCCTGGAAAAGCAGGCCATGGTCGAGGAAGCCAAAGCGTTCCTCCTGACACCATTTTCTAAGCCAGTCATTGACCTGTACTATTTTTCTGGCTCTTGTGGGTCCGTGTCTTACAACAGGGAGGAGGGATGAAAAGACCACCTGTACATTACATTCTTTTAGCTTTGCTCCTAGAGCTCGAAAATCATTTGTGATCTTTTGAAACGTATGCCTTAGCAGTATCATTGGTTCCTACATGAATCAACATGAGGGGAGGACGGTGATAGGGCTTGAGGAGCCTGGTGAGCCTCTGAGTGATATGGTGTATTTTTGCCCCCGGTAGGCAGCATATTTCTCGAGCCATCCCATCTGGTCTGGAAATGACAGCTTCCGTTCCTCTAAGGAGGGAGTCGCCTACTACCAAGACCTGTTTACTTTCGGGAATGACAGGGCCCCTTTTGTGCAATGTAGTGTGTAGGTCTCCAGAAAAGTGATCCTGTTGGTGTGAATTGTGTAGGTGAAAAGTGTTGTCCTCCTCCTCGACATCCCCGGTGCATTCGTCAAGGACAATCCATCGAGATTCGTCCAAGAGCCTATGGTTCTCCTGTATGTGTTCCTGTTGCTCCTGGTCTATGGTTGGGGATGGACACCTGCAGGATTGTGCAAGTGTGAATGCTGTGAAGTGTTGTCCCAGTCAGGGCTATCCCCCGCACACTGATCAAGGATGAGCCACTGATCAGTATCTAAGCAGACACTTAAAGACTATAGAAGCTGCTGATTATAGCCGTTTGGCACCATTTGTCATGACTCCATCCTATGGAATGCTTGGATTTGTAGTTTAGTATGACCTCAGAACTCTCTGATAGACAACAGCAAATATCTTACAAAGATACAAATCCCCAAATTCCATAGCATTGACATGGCAGTTAATGTGGTTTCAAACTACTATAATTCTGCAGTGTGGATACAGTCTTAATATGTTTATGGTTGAAAAAACAAATACCTTGACTTGAGAAATTACCAATCATAGAATCATAGAGTTGGAGGAGACCTTGTGTGCCATCCAGTCCAACCCCCTGTCAAGAAGCAGGAACATCACATTCAAAGCACCCCGACGGATGGCCATTCAGCCTCTATTTAAAAACCTCCAAAGAAGGAGCCTCCACCACACTTGAGGACAGAGAGTTCTGCTGATGAATAGCTCTCACAGTTAGGAAGTTCTTCCTCATGTTCAGGTGGAATCTTATTTCCTGTAGTGTGAAGCCATTGTTCCGCATTCTAGTCTCCAGGGTAGCAGAAAACAAGCCTGCTCCCTCCTTCCTATAATCCCCCCTCACAGATTTATATATGGCTATCATGTTTCCTCTCAGCCATCTCTTCTACAGGCTAAACATGCCCAGATCTTGAAGTTGCTCCTCATAGAGCTTGTTCACCAGACCCTTAATCATTTTAGTCACCCACCTCTGGACACATTCCAGCTTGTCAACATCTCCCTTCAATTGTAGTGTCCAGAATTGGACACAGTGTGATTCCAGGTGTGGGCTGGCCAAGGCAGAATGGAGGGATAGATGACTTTTCTGGATCTAGACACTATATTCCTAGTTATGCAGGCCAAAATCAAATTGGATTTTTAGCTGCCATATGACATTGTCTAAGCCCTACTCTCATTTCTCTCACTCCTTCTCTGTTCATTCATTCTGTAATTCTTTTGCTCCATTCTCCTCAACAATAATAGCAAAATAGTGCCAGATGTCTTTGGCGTGAACCACTTTAGGTTGGATTGTGGCCCAATCACAAACAGTGAATATGAAGGATGAAGAGCGGGAAGGGGGGGGGGGGGAAGGAATACAATTGCTATTTATGAAAAATAAAATTGTTGGAAATGAGTTGCAGTGCAGCTGGATGGAAAACAGATGGAAAATTATAGAAACTTTGGATGGCAGTAGATTCTTTATTTGTAGCATTTAGTATGGGGTGAATTAATAGCCATCTGCCCTTACATTGCAGTGAAAGTAGGGTTATGGTTACAACCTGTGAAATGTGTGCTTCTAATGAATGATATTGAGCATCTGTCAAAGCTAGGCTCTATATAATTCAGAATTTCAGAATACACTGGATGAGTATGAACAAACTGAAGCTTAATCCAAACAAGACCAAACAGTACAAAGGCAGATCAGGGAATAGAGATTAATTTTACGCTGAATAGCATTCCATATTTCACTTTAAGACTCATATTTTCAGTTCATACGTACTCCTGGGTTTAGCCCTAAATCTGCATGCTCAGGTTTTGATATTTTTCTCATAGTAAATAGTAGGACAAAACTACTTTTATTTTGGTGGCATATAACCACCAAATGGTTGTGGCAACATGAACACCACTGATGCAACATCATCCAGTGGATATATTCTACGACAAACTTAGCAGATGTCTGTATGTGTAAACTGAGATCATGTATCATAAACAGATTCATCCAATTTTTTAAGAAAAGGCATTCAAATATGGAGCTTGTTTCCAAAAGGTGTCAAATCCATTTGAATAAAATTTACAGGAAAAAAAGTTCTGATTAGTAATAAAATACATTTTCCAAGCCCTGTACCCAAATAATTTGATACATTTTGATAGTTTTGATCTGTTATATAATATTCTACTTCTAGCCAACAATGTGATTATTTTTCAGGGCTTTTTTATTTGATACCTTTTGGAAACAGATCACAAATCTTTAAGAAAGCACCACACAAAATACCAACTCCCCTCTCTCCATATCCTTGCATATGTACAGTTCAAGATCTGACAATATTCTTGTTAATCATATGACTAAGGATTCGCTTCAATGGCTTAGATCTTCTGTCTCCCATCAATATGTAAAGGAACTGTATCATTTGTTTGCTCTACAAAAATACAAATCACAGAGTCTCTGTATTGCAGCCTTTAAGATTTACTAATCCTGCACCCAGGCAGATTGTTGGCATCAAAGTGACATTAAATATGCAATATAAAATATATTTGCTTTAACTTAAAGAACATGACTATTTATTGGCTAACCTTAACTCAAGCATACGCTTGAATTATAAGCTATTTATATTGCTATTGAGTGTACAGTTTTTCTAAGCAAATACAGCAGTTTTGTTCCTTCATAATTAGATGCTATGTAATTTTAACCAGGTTGGAAAAATCCGAAAAACCTCTGCCCGGAAAAGAGAATTCCACGTACTCTTCATGATCATCACAACCATCATCTGTTACCTGATCTGTTGGATGCCCTATGGGGTTATAGCACTTCTTGCAACTTTTGGTCGTCCTGGCTTGGTGTCGCCTGTAGCCAGTGTCATTCCTTCTATCTTGGCAAAGAGCAGTACTGTATGCAATCCCATCATCTACATTCTAATGAACAAGCAGGTGAGAATGTGTTTTTAAAGACTGTTTACTATTGCTTTAGATCAGCGTTTCTCAACCCGAGAGGTTGCGAGGAGTGTGTTAGAGGGATTACCAAAGACCATTAGAAAACACAGTATTTTGTGTTGGTCATGGGGTTCTGTGTGGGAAGTTTTGAACCCCAATTGGTGGGATTCAGAATGCTCTTTGATTGTAGGTGAACTACAAATCCCAGCAACTTCAACTCCCAAATGTCAAGGTCTATTTTCCCCAAACTCCACCAGTGTTCACATTTGTGCATATTGAGTATTCATGCCAAGCTTGGTCCAGATTCTTCATTGTTTCAGCCCACAGTGCTCTCTGGATGTAGGTGAACTACAATTCCAAAATGCAAGGTCAATGCCCATCAAACCCTTCCAGTATTTTCTCTTGGTCATGGGAGTTCTGTGTGCCAAGTTTGGTTCAATTCCATCATTGGTGGAGTAAGGAATGCTCTCTGATTGTAGGTTAACTATAAATCCCAGCAACTAGAATTCCCAAATAAAAAAATCACCCCCCCCCCAACCCCACCAGTATTCAAATTTGGATGTATCGTATTTGTGACAAATTTGGTCCAGTGAATGAAAATGCATCCTGCATATCAGATATATACATGACAATTCATAACAGTAGCAAAATTACAGCTATGTTGTAGCAACGAAAATAATTTTACGGTCAGGGGTCACCACAACATGAGCAACTATTAAGGGGTCCCGGTATTAGGAAGGTTGAGAACCACTGCTTCAGACACATTTGTGTGCTTCTACAATGTAGTCTATGACCCACACAGCACTGCTGGTGTATGAGTCAGCTTTGTTGCCTTCAGAACTGACAACTTGATGGAATTGCTTGAAAGGAAATGAGATAAACATGTTTAATTGTTTTCCTAGATTGATGCAGCAGAGCAAGTGCTGAGGAGAATAGGAACACAATATATGCCATGACCAAAGGCTGTATGTCTGATCCTATGAGTCTAACAAAAGCAGTGTTAAACAAGTCTCTAAAACTTTAATATAGGACCTTTGTAAGGTGGTGTGATGGGCAGTAATAGCTCACAAAGTAATAGCTCACAAAGTGAAAATACTGAGATAAACACACATGCCATTGTATGGCTTTATTGTTCATTTTAAAGTACAGACATTTTGCCTTAGTCTTTGTCCATCCTTAAATTAACATGCTATTCAGATGTCATGTATTTCAGTGTTTAGTGTCTCAAATATCACATTTCAAAATTGCTATCCAGGTAAAATTTCTGGTTTGTTCTTTAAAAGGAAATTGCGTAGTGATTTAAATCAATGGATCTTAAAAATGTTTTCAGCCATTGATCATATCCATTGATTTTTAAAGGATGTTTTCAGAGTTGCAATTTTAAGCTCAAGATTATTGTCTGTCAAATCTACTGATTCAGGAAGCAAAACCCTTTAAAAGAAATTTCAAAGTGTGGTTATGTATGTTTACCTCAAGGTCCTCAAAGATAGCTGTCTTATGCAAAGGGAAACAAAGAACGCTGTCATCTCTTAGCCTTGACGGGAGAAAAGGGTCGTCATCAATCATTTCGTCGAAGAACTTAAAGGTGGGAGGGAAAAATACCACAAAGTCCCAGCTTGCTTTCAGTTTCTTTGTAAACAGCAACTGTTTCCTTTTGTGCTTCAGAGTTTTTGCTGGAGATCCTCAAATAGCTTGCATAAGCTTTAGCAGTGGCTCCCCCACTGATATATTAACATATCACAAAACTATTAGACTTTGAGGCAGACTTGTAATATGTGTTGCTCAGAACCACTTGTTTCTGCATCATGGGGGATTCCACAATGTGAAATTCATCTTTGCACTGACTCTGAGAAACTTTTGAATAATGCCTCCCAGAATCCCAGGTTTCTTTCTCCCACTGTGATGGAGGTCTTTTGTCTCACTCTTCTACTTAAGATAAGTCAGGAGCACCATGGGTAGATACCTCTTCAACATGCAAGTGAAACCTGACTCTTTTCCTTTCATCTTATTCTGATATTGTTGAAAGCACAGAGCTGCTGAGATGCATGTGTGTCTCCCGCATAATTCATGATGTCTGGAAAGCCAAATCATGCTTTTAAAACAGGACTTTCAGGGATGTAGTTCACGGATGATGTCCCAAGTTGGGCTATGTTGTAGAAAACACTTGCCCCCCCCCTCCCAACTGCCCCAAACAGCCCTTCAACAAACTTTATTCAGTTTTGTTGCATTCAGCCACTTGATCAAGGATGCATCTGCATTGCATAATTGATGTGGTTTGACATGGCTTTGACTATTATGGCTCAGTGCCTTGGGATCAGGGAAGTTGTAGTTTTACAAGTTCTTTATCCATCTCTGCCAATGGGTAGTGGTGCCTCGCCAAACCTCAACTGTCGGGATTCTATAGCAGTGATTCATGGCAGGAAAAGTAGTGCCAAACTGCATTAATTCTACAGTGTAGATACACCCTACTAAAGGGATCTTAGGGTTAAAATCAAAATGTTTTCCTACTGTGTAGGACATCCCTGGTTGTGAAAAGAGGGGAAATTCCAAATCTGAGATCATTGGGAAATGAATTGACAGTAAAACTAAATGAAAATAAACAAACATGGATTTTAAGGTGGTTCAACTCCACTTGAAAATGCTGCACACAGTTTTGAATACTGCATCTCCATAAAGAGCTGTTTTAGAGTAGTTAAAGGCAAAAAGGTATTCAAAACTGTAAAGTGGCAGCAGTGGACAGCTCCTTGAGTGAGAAATGCATACCTTTCAGCTTTCCTAATCTGGCATGTGTAGTCCTCTCTTATCCCAGTTTTTCAGCTGTTTTTAGAACAAGCACTTTCCCTTTCCTCTCATTCCCACTTTGCCTTCAATGTATTTACTGCAAATTGATTTAATTTGCAAAAATAGTTTGCACTGAATTAACTCAGCTTGTATTAGTGGGAAAAAAAAAGACTGAACTTTACCTTATTCAGTAGGCTCAAGCAAAAGGCAACTACTGCAACCTCTTTTAGGGCGCTTCCAGACAGTGCCAAAATCCAGGTTTCAAATGGGGGTAAAAAATCCTGGGGCCTGGCTGCAGATCCCCACACAGACCTGTTAGTCCTGGAACTGGGTACCCCACCGTCCTCACAGTCTTCCTCTGTATTGGAACAACTGTATGGGGGACATCTGGTGGAAGGTTGTTGTTTTTTTTAAAAAAATCACTCCATTATGTACTGGACTATGTATGCACACATGTGATTATCTAAATATAAATATAAGCAGATTCATATGTGCACATATGAGGTTCAACGCATAACTAAATGCATTTTTTTAAAAAAAATTCAGCTGGATTTCTTTTATCCCCAATTGTTTATTCAAGCTCTGTTTAATATTATTAAGTTTAAATTAAAGTTTTAGAGAGTTCTAATTACTGTCCATTTGTTCTTCCTTTGAACCAGCTGTGTGTCCATTAGACAGACCAATCAGCTGATCAGCTGCTTGGGCTTTTTAAAAGCACATATGCTCTGGAATAGTCTACACGGGGGGAGGGAAGGAAATAATGTGTTTTTTGTGAATGCAGGGATATACAGTAATACCAATATGAACATTTTCCGTCTGGAATCGGGATAGAAGCAGACTTTTTGAACATTTGTTTTTGACCATTGCAGTGAATCAACATGGATTTTGCGCTAGCGTCATTTAGCCCCCCCCCCCTTTAATCTGGTAACTTCCACATTTTAGGTGTTGTGTAGAAGGGCCACTAGTTTATGTGTTTTTTTCTTATTAATAACTTAATATCTTAACAACTTACTATCTATCACAATGTTTAAAATGTGGACTTTAAAAAAAACTCATGGTGATGAGAAAGTGGATAGGAGGATGTTTTTCTCTCTTTGGCTGAATTAAAGTCTGCAAACTAATTAATCTTCCCTTTTGTCATGATCCTTTTTGAACACACAATGTTCCTCAGGTTTTGAAATGAAAGCCTGTCTATTTTATGCCTGAGGGCATTAGTATGATTTTTTAAAAAACCCTTTTAGTCTGCAGTTTCTAGGAAAAATCTTTATTTGCTGCATAATGTACAACTCAGTGTGGTATAGTGGTTTGAGATGTAATGTGGATGTAATGTGGTAGAGTGCATGAACTCCAGGTCCATGTTGTTGGACCTTATTCCATCTTGTGGCCTCCTGACACATGAAAAAAGCCCATTCCTATCCACACCACATGAGAAATATGATCCTCAGCATTTTCCCCACAATGGGTTGGTAATATGGGATTTGAAACACCAACCAAAACCCCAATCCAACCATATCATTATTAATGCAGACAGAATATAACATAACAATTAAGGTCTACACTACAGTCTCATTCAGTCATAGGAAGTAAAAGAATTATCCAAGTTGTTCGTTATTTTTCAGTAAAGAAAAATTAGATGAAAAGATCACGTGCAGCTAGTTTCTTCATCTTTAGTTCACAGATACTTTTTGAAAACAGTATAAACTTTTAAAGAGGTGTTGGTAATAGTACAGCATCTGGACAAAAATTGTGTTGTCAGAAGCAGAAAGGCAAGGGAAGGAATGTTTCGCTCCCTCATATATTATTTAAAACAGTGTCTACTGCTATCTCATCACTTTTTGTAATTATTTAACACTTACTTAATTTTCGCGTGCACAATAGCCGTATAGTAATAAACCAAGACAATATTTTCTCAAGAGGAAGACAATATTGAGGCTGTTAGGGGCTGGCAGAAAAAAGGTAGTGGAAGGGACAAAACTAAAGAGGGTTGCATTATTCATTAACTTTTTTGTTTTGCTTTAGTATTTTAATTGTAGGGTTCCTTATTTTTCCACAAAGGACAATAGCTTAAATCATGCTATTATTCTCCACTATAGATTTATTTAGTTATTTATTTATTTACTGTATTTATACTCCACCCTCCTCACCCCCAAGGAGGGCTCAAGGAGGCTTACAAACTATGGCAATAATTCAATGTCATAGCCCCATTAAATTAATGA